CATGAACTTCCAACGCTCAATCGAAGTCTAAAGGAAGATTAATCGAGAAATTTTGCTCCAGTTCCTCATTGAATTTTTGAATAAAAGTCTTTTTGGCAAAAAAGGGCCATAAAAGCGTAATTCTTCGGTTTTTTGAGCTTCTTTTGAAGGTCACTACTATATTTACCTCATTCACATCTCTTCCTATATGGGTATGTCATTAGTTATGCCATGATATCCGGGGCTTGGCCCCGGATGACTTCCCTCTAAGTGAAAGTTGTGTTCTATCATGACGCTCAAAGTGAAGGTCACCAGAGTACGTGGCTCTATGTATCGAAGGTATGGTAGCGCTTGAGAATCAGAGAATATCTTTTAAATCAGCTTGAAACCATTTTCACAAATTGGTCATCATACCATCTCGTAGCTGGTAATCACTGCTGTAACTCTGACAACATGGCCAAATTCCATTTTTGGTTTGTACGTGACTCGCGAAAACTTTCCCTTCGGAAATATATCTTTTTCGACTTGAATCTTTTTGTGCTTTTTGTGCATTCTATAAGTCATGGCGAGTTTGCGACTATGGCGAAATAATTAGTTAAAGGAGGCAAAAAGCGCCTTTTTCCTAATTTGAAATCAGGCTTTATTGCTTGGAATGGTAAGGGAAATAGCGCAAACAACGTCGCATGGAAACGGAAACGACAAAACGTGGAGAACTCTAGAACGCATCAAAAATTGATGGTCTTTGACGGCATTTTGACTTTAAGAAATATTTCTCGTTTTCAAAACTGATTTTTCCCGTTTATCCTCTTCTTGACATACTTTCGACGTGATTGCATCTGAGACAATCGCAGAAAAGATGGTGGCTTGTTCTCGTTTTCACCGATTTGTGAAGCTGCGGTCCCGAAGCGAAAACCGAAAACGTGCGGTTTGGGATGCCGCCAAGGAGATTACGAAACTTATGACGACTTTTCAACCAATTTTCGATTGTTGCTCATTTTGTCACTTGCGGTTCAACTTTACCCTTCTTTGAATCTCTTTAGAGGGCCATCACTTTTTATAGTGCAGGCAAAGACCTTTATTTGTGAAGGTCTATCTCTAGACTATCGAAGATGTGCTTTTTACTGTTCATGTTGCCATGTTGTAGCATGGAAGAGTGCGCGGTCGCGAATCTAACTTACAAATTCTTTCTGAAGAGGTTCACACAAGTCCGCGGAAAAGCACCATCATCTCAACTGAAACTAAGGTGACGGTGATTTTTTGCGGACTTGTGTGAACATCATACTTAAAAGGCATGTAAATGACTCTACTCTCGAATGTCGCTAGAACTGATATTCAAAATTCAAAAAATGTCAAGCGCTTATATATGACACAGCTAACTAATCTCTTGGCTCAAAATTTTCATTAAAATAGCCTTTCGCGTAACACTAGACGGAAGTGAGTTGCCATAGATAGCACTTCTATTTTGCGATTCTCAAGTATTAGTCGTTAAAAAATAATTTGCGATGATTCAATAATTTCGGCCAAATGCTTTGCAGTCAAGTGAGTCGCCATAGTGATATAATCATTAGTGAGAGATTCGGATACTATCGGGTATTTTTTTAATCATCTCTTCTTTCACTTTTATTGTTCATTCCTATAAAATATCACTGAGTATTACATTCATTTGATAAAGCAAGCAATCATTAAGAAGCTCACGAAAACGAAAGTGACTTTAGTATTTCGACTACAACAAAAATGACGTGACTTTTCCAAACGACTTGATAATATGATGCACTGGCACAGAGGTTTTTGATGCGTTACAGTTCTCAGGTGTGAAATGCGGACGTTCTATCTGCGCGTTGAGAATTTCGCGAGATAAGAAGCCAACGTTTATTTCAAATCTTTGCTTGCAGGTGCATCATACTCGCCAACAAAGCCTATCGAAACAAAAGGAGACCTTATCAGTAGGTTGATGGTTTAGCTTCTAATTTCTGGAAGTTTTCAGTATCTGGAGGGAGCAGAAGAATGTGCTACGTGTAGTCAATAGACGAGGTAATGTGGATTGTAAAAATTTGCCTGTATCGTGGATTCGCTGGGATGGCCGTGAGACAATGCCAAATGCAAAAGAAAATATGATAGCTCACCAATTAGGCGCAAATAATTTTTTTGGAGTGCCTGCGTGGAATCGTGACTTTGGATGCTCGAAGTGCAAACAAAGGGAATGTTAAAGGGAAGACAATGTAAGTAGTTCACGGCACAAGTCAAGTCATCTCGCTTTAGAACCCGCGGAAGGTCCCAAATTTCAAGCGTTCTGGCATCGTATGTCGTTCCTCTTCGCAACACACCCACGAATTCCTGGACATGGTTTGAAGCTTCAGAAATGACGGATGTTACTTTTACTTCCATGTGTTTTTTCTCGAATTTGCTTCACATACGCTTTAGAGAGTCACGGGGCATAGGACTAAAGGTCGTTTTTCTGATCTCATTTCTCGCAATGCGATCAATCTTGCATACATATGTTTGATCCAAGGTCCAAATCTCGATTTTCACTTCGATTGTGATAATACTGAACTTGTCGAAACGTGCCTGAAGAACTTGTATGCCCATACCTCTGTCATGTGATCTTATCTCTGGAGGATTTGAAAATATGCAAATCAACGGAATTGGACGATGCTTCCTTTAGATGGCTACCAAGGGCCACAATTTGCGTTGATAGCTGGCATTCGTCAATTTGATGCTAGTTGTTACTACGGGAATCACCTCTCACCTGTTTCCTTGCCTGGCTACTGGTTCTGCTTGAGAACCATGACTCGCCTAAGTTATAATGCTGATGCATCATAGAAGAACAATTTAAGGTATTTGTATACCAAGCGGATCTGGGCTGAAGTAGCACGAAAGTTCTTTACAAAGAAGTGGCCGCCAAGACGTGGTCCATCTTTGCGGGCGCGACTTCGACTACGACTTTGGCCGTTTTGCTTCAATTCTCATTTCGCGAAGTCTCCATCGAGAGTTCATTAATACTGATCCCAGTGCACATCTGGGTGACTTAATCAACCACACGCCTCATCCTTTTCGGCGGGCAGCTCAGATCATGACCACAAGTGCAGACAAAAATCACTTCAAGGACATAACTGGAAAGTGGGTAAATTTAAGACCGGTAAGACTCGTACATATGAACCAGCTACTCTTGCGGTACTAGCTAATAGGTCTTACGTTTCTCGGTTTTGGAAGCGCGTACATATTGTGGGTAACTTTTCGAACAGATGTACCAAGGGTTCACTTTTGAGCCACCTTCCTTTTCTTCTGAAAAGCAACGTTTCAGGGTTTCGTCTTTGTGATCTTATGGCTGTTGCTAATGTAAGATCGTGGTCTAAAATCAATCAAACTTGGATAATATGCTTTTTGGAGCCTATCAAAGCCGTCAAAACAATGTCATCCCTACAAGTTCTGCAGCAAATTCAAAATCATGCGCTCAAAACGCGCATAAACAGCGGTCGGAAAATGCCTGAACGCAGCTTCTCATCATAGGTTTGAGTACTTGTAATGGAATCCAGGAAACACCATCCACATCCTGCTCTGCTTTCACTCTAAGCACAATTCGAACATTTTACACGAGTTTGTCAAGGTCGAGCCAACCTCTGCGTGGTTGAATGTACCTTTTTCATATACACTTGGCAGCAAAAAAGGCTCTTAGTTGCAAAATTGGATAAACCGAAAATGTTCTTGGGAGAAACGTACCGATAGAGAGTAAGAAGAACATCCCAGCGGTGTGTTGCGATCTAAGTTCGCGCCGTACGCTTATTTTGCTCTGCATAGGCAACATCTATTACAGCCCTGAGTTCAACATTGAAACACCGCGTGCCCCAGTAGCTTAAAGAGCGAGCTTTACATTCTTACATCGCCATCGGCGTCCTCATCAAGCAGCGAAGCCATTCCCCACCCAGAGTGACAAGAATGCCAACAAGATTTACGAGGTTACGCTATTGATCTGCTCCTCGTTTGCCCTTGTACGAAGGATTACAGAATTTGTTAACTCGGAAACACGCTCCTATAGCAAGTTTTTGTTTTTTTGGCGCAGGCGGTTTATCAGGGAACTGTTTGGAACTGGGCCTTATCGCAGCTATCTGCAGCTCCAGAAATCCAATTCTCTCCTATAATATAAACCCGTTCCAAAAAAACGAGACGGATAGAATGCTCCTCCCCTGCGTATGGTATATTGGTGTTTTTGTATAGACGCGAGTCGACGAGCTTAGCCTTTTCGTTGAGAGAAGCGGCAGTGTAGTCTTGAGCGCAGCAGAGGACGCAGACGTCGAGGCAACGAGATAGTATCAGACACGCAGGCTGGTCTGCCCTGTTGAAATATACGGCATCGCTCACCGGGCGTGTGTCGAAATATTCATCCAAGCCATGAAAGCCGTTTCTGCTTCTGTTTCATCAAGCCACATCCAGTATACGGCATCGCTCACCGGATGTGTGTCGAAATATTCATCCAAACGACGAAAGCCGTTTCCGCTTCTGTTTCATCAAGTCACGTCCAGTAATAAGCGTGTTGAACCCTTTTCTCTCAATCGCTTGCCCTATGTTTACAACTCTTCAATTCGTTTGCTCACTATGTATCCTGAGACGCATACAATCTTTTCAATCGCGCCCTAAAAAAAGCGAGCTTGTTGAAGCTTTTTACATCACTTATTTATGTCTACTCTTCCATGGTTTGTTCACCATGTATTAGGAGCGTTTGCTATCTTTTCAATCACGAGCGCTAAAGCCCCAATTTCTTAAATCGCATTTCCGTTCCTTTCCAAATCCACTGCTGTGCCCATCCAATCACATTTGATAGCTCATCCGTATTTTCTCGTATTCATTTCTCACGCTTCCCACTATGCTGGTGAATTTTTACAAGAGTTAAGATAAATAAGGCACGGTTTTTTGATGATTCAGCTTCGTTCGGAATTGCGCGCTTTCAAAAATATTGCAGTCATGTTTGTTTTGTAATTTTAGGCGTGTTCGTCGCCGCAAGTTTGCAAACCTAATGCGATCGCGATATGTTGGTTGGAAACTCTGAAAATGGTGGTGATACTGGCGATTACGAAGTTGCTCATGGACCCGAATTTTGGGAATGGGAAGAGGGCAGATGGAACACTTGGGTCAGTGTGATTGTTTCGCTTGCTTTTGTAACCACACTGACGTTTGATTAGGAAACCCATGCTTGTGATAAACGCTTATGTGTTGCTCTCAAGAGTCATCCTATACTATCACTTGGACTAGGTCACGATGGAGATGAGGTGACTAAAAATACGTCAGCTACTGCGTTCAAGAATCTATAGGTATTTGCAGAATAGATCTGCAAGTTTCTTGTCAACATCCCATTTGGTGCCCTGGCGTGATCCCAGTTTGATAAAGAAGAGGACTGTTCGTGAGTTGTTCATATCATGTTTTATTGCTTTCTATAGGTGTATTTGTCATTTTAGCGTCGACTGTATTTGTCATTCTAGCTTCTGTATCTGTTAGTCGTCAATCAAGAACGGGTTGGATGATGTTTCCGTCATGCCCATCAGCATGATAACTCCTCATGTCAGTAAATGGGTCATATGCGGCCTATGGATTTGCGAGTCAACTCAAACTGACGAAACACCGACCTAATGTGTCCAGACTTCGTCGCCACAAAAAAGTTTCATTGATAAGTTGGCTCGAATATGTAGCCTGTAATCTTCTTTATCGGGCTGGCAACTGCATGTCGCACAAACGATTGATACTTGAAATCATGTTTCGGGTACTCAAATTTTCAATTCACCTATGGCAATAGCAATGTAATTCCGCGCAATACTGTCATACAGAAAGTCCCAGCGGAAACCGAGATATTCAGGTTTTGAGGTCGCTGCTGTATACTGGATTTGAATCTCACACGGCTGACGCATTGCAAGTAATATGATTAGGGTGATTGCTCGATTACTGGGTCGAAAATGCTTTGTTTTTGAACAATTACAAATTAGAGGAAAGCAAGCAGTTTTTCGAGTTCGATTTGCAGGGAAGCTTTCGCTGATTGAGCTTGCTCTTAAATCTTCATCAAGTAATTATTCTGCCTGTAAATTGGTACGGTATCCCCCGACATCGAAGCATGTACATCGATTAAACCATATTCAGGGACTGTCGCGGGTTGATACAGTGGAGTATCACCTTTGAAAGTTCTGAACATTATATAATCAATAATCATTATATAATCAATAATCATGTTTTGCATCATTCAAAAAATAGATATTTTCAGTATTTCTTATTGCAATTCTTGGCTCAGCGTTGATGTTAAACACAATCCCGGTCCGTTAGCAACATCTACTTTTGCGATTTATTGTGCCAGTAATTATGTACGACAAAGTACAGCTACTTTACCAATATAAGATAAAGGTCAAGCTGGATTCATCAACGTAACACACACGATTCCACACGTATGCTGAGCATACTAGGTCTCGTCGTAACTACATGGACTGTCCCTAGATTTCGGAGCACGCGGCGCACGTCCAAACGGTTGGGCAAATTACTATGTAGAACTCTCGCTTTCGTACCATCTCAACCGCGTGCGCATGCTCGCAATCTACGACCAGTCTGTGCGCCCCATTTGACACTATGAAACTATGACCTTTGAAAGTTCTTTCTTGATCTTGACTGTGTCCTCTTCTGTTTGCATACCGTTCTGGCAAGTACTGCCTTGAATTCTAATAGCCTTCGGAATACACAGCGGCAGCCGTACTATAGGGTTGTGCTTGATGACGGTCGACGACATTTGCGGTAATAGCGTCGATCACGCCCACTTCGCTGAAGTCAAGCTGAAAGCCTCAGCTTTGTTTTTCTTTGCCTTTTACACGTTCCCTTTTTGTTTAGAAGTAGCGAATAAGCTCTCCTTAGTATTTTTTCCAGCCTAATCCTAGCGCTAAAGAAAATAGCGGCTCACCGCTCAGTGATATTACGCGTTCGCGAACAGTAGCCGTAGATTCACTGACTTTCATGATCAGAACAGCCCTGTACTAGAGACTATTTGAACGAGTAACTTGATGTAGAAATTCTGAAGGCAGTTTTCGGGCTAAAAACGATCATGTACCTCAAGCTTTGCCAGATCTTTTTCCTTTCAAACGCTTATCTGCTATCAGATGATCGATTCCAATTAAGCCAAACCATGAAAGGTACGAAATTTTGACTGATTTGAGGCAATGTGGCATGATTCGCGTGCAGTGGCCGCAAACTCACCGTCTCGCGTGACCAGTCGGAGCCCTATACACATGGCTGCACGAGGCGCGACCTCTGTAGCAAGTGCCAGATTTATCCGATCACTTTTTGGTGACATCAAAGATCTGACCGATAGCAAAGCGGATGAAGTGCTACGCGGATAACTCTGACCTGCCTATGGCTGCGTTCATACTTCCGAAGTCGCGTTCATACTGATCCCGAAGTCCGGGAACAGTTCCAGCACAGCGCTGAGTTCGAGCATGTGCTGGAGCTGTTCCCGGACTTCGGGATCAGCATGAACACAGTCTATGACCCCTTGCTGATTGGCCGGCTCGCATGGTTCAGTGCTGGAACACTCTAAACGCTGCGAAATTGCATTTATTGCTCACAGCTGAAGTTGTGAAACGAACGATTCTTCAAATCAGTTTCTTGGGCGTTCCTTTGATCCCTGGGGCGTGCGGCATACTTGATCCGCTTCGTCGTTGGTTAATTCAGTGAAATGATTAGTGGAATGGATGAAGTGGACTAAGCCAATCAAGTGTACAACCGTTTCGATAAATCAAGTCTACAACCGTTTCGGTTAATTCACTAATTGGCACTGATGAAGCGGATCAAGTGGATCAAGTGGGCTAAGCGGATCAAGTATGGCGCGCCTGGGTGTGGACAACTTCTGTTTTAGAAGTTTGTTAATGCTTACAATGACATTGTCCGTAACGCTTCACTTTCTACCTATACTTATGACCAATTTGATTTTGGAATTGTTTGAGATTTGTTACGTGGAATAAAAAACAGTCAGATTTGTCTCAAAGTTTCGCAGCAGTTCTGAATGATTTGGTGCCGATTTTGCAGAAATTGATCACGTTTGCAATAAACTTTTTGCAATAAACAACGTGTAAATAAAGAAGTTCGCTAACAAGAAACGTCAAGTAGATTGCGTCACTTTATGATTTTGGAGAAATCTTGCCTTTGCGGCAAAGGTGTGAGTGTCGAAAAAGGGAAAACGTGTCTGTTCATATATGATGTTTCAGAGACAGCAGTTGAGTACAGTTGCATATTACATTGCTTCGTTTTTCGAGTCAGGACATCGAAGAAAGCAAAGCAATCAATTAGATAATCATAAAGAAATCATGAGTTTGCGGGCGTTGAAGCTGTTACAGCCATGGACTGTTCATGATCACCAAGTGTTGTTTCCCACCAATGACGTTACGTTGCAGCATAGTGTGGTACATTTTTGGCACTTTCTATATATCGTCCCTTCCACAGTTGCTGCTACCCTTCATTGGCCTGCGTCATGCCGCAACATTTTGGCCATTAGCTACGCCAGCATGTTGCTACATGTTGCAGAAGTGTTGTTGCCGGTGTTGCCAACATGTTATCCACACGTGGTAGATCTAAGACGCAGACTAAGGGTAGGAGCAATTGTGGAGGAGATAGTCAATCAGTGTACTGTGGATGCAAATCAGTCGTGTCATATACCCTCGATTATCAGTCCATGTCTTTCCTTAACATGATGTGGATTACGCGGATCGTTGAGGCGAGGCGCGACCTCGCTTAGGCTGCGTTCATACTGATCCCGAAATTCGGGAACAGTTCCAACACAGCGCTCGAACTGAGCGTTGTGCTGGAACTGTTCCCGGAAGTTGCAGACTTTGCGTTGCAGACTGCCGGACTGACCTGGATTGCGGAGCATGCGCCGTGTGATAACAAATCGCCAATTCGTTGACCGCACGGACTGCTCAAACGCTGCGGACCATGCGCTGCGCGTGTGAATTGTCGCGAGAGCACGACTTGTACAATGGCTAACTTGTGCTGAGGCAAGCGTTACCTCGAGGCGCGCTACTGCACAGTGATGTCCAGTCCGCGCAGTTAGAATCAACTATATGTTGCAGTGCAAATCGGTAGGATAAAGTTATGCTCTACTGGCATTTCGTCCGCACCCTGCGTGTTTCGCACTGCGGCCAGCCCGCGCGGTCGACGAATGACGTGACATAATATGCGCAATATACATATGGAATCTGTACGTATCGCGCGATGATGAATCCTGCTTGAAATATTCTCTAAACGATGCCTTATATTGACAGCCACGTGCAGACGTTTAGCAGCCAACTGTCAAGGTGTACATCTAATGCTTGAATACTTTGGTCGAATAATGCATCTCGGAGTTTGCACTACAGTGTTTCAGGTTCTCAGATTTTGCTTTTTTTGCCATGCCATGGAAGCACTTAGGGTTGTTTCATACTGCAGTCGCTGCAGCAACTGCAGTCACAGTGGGGCGGGCAAAAGGTATTGATCGATCGACGGTTGGTGCTGCAGCGACTGCAGTATGAAACAACCCTTACAACGCGGCTTTTGAGTTATTGTATCGGTATCAAATTGCTTTGACACACCTTATGTTATTGGGACGTACTACCAACTTAAGTGGGTTTTACGCGGCCGACTATTTAGTTTATTACATGCTAACAATAGATTTTGGGCTATGATAAAACGAAAGTGATAATAGAGAGGTTGTAGGTTTTGACTTTTCGACTGAAGTCATTCGTTAAGACTTGTAAACAATTTGTTCAAGTGCGAATCATAATTTGTTTTATTAGATGCTCTACAGCGTTTTTCTACTCATTGTTGTCCCTACAATATTTCAGCCTTTTTTTCAAACATGTGCATTATCTCTGTGCTTTATAACATCCGTCCGATATGTGTATTATCTCTGTGCTTTGGAATATCTTTTCGTTTGAAGTTGAAGCAGTTGTGAATGAATAGTTTTTAATGAAGTGAAAATTTATGTAAAAGATTTTCTTGGTTTAAATTAGCATTCATCTATGGATTGGCCCCAACCCGCTTGCTAGCGACCCGTAAGGTCGCTAGTCTTATATATAAAGCTGGATTGTTTGTCTGTATGTCTGTCTGTCTGTATGTATGTACGTATGTTCCGAATAGAAATTTTTATTTCTCAACCGATCCGGACCAAACTTGGCACACATACACTACGAAGCGGAGCAGGTGTCATAGGTTACTTTTCGTCAACGATCGATGTCGATTTTATCAATTTCTTTCGATTTTTTCCAGGGTTCACCTACGGGGCTGGGATTTGGCACAAGGGGGTAATCGAGCATGCTGATTACGAACACAATATTAGTTTTAAGAATTATACATTACTTTTATCGATTTTATCGATTTTTTGCAAGGTTTGAGCTACTGGGCTGAGAGTTGGCACAGGCGGGTAATCGAGCATGCTGATTACTAAAACAGCGGGAATAGTGAATTGGCATGAAGACCTGGGCAAGGGAAAGGTAATACTGGCATAGGAATGAGAGCTTTATTATAGTGTTTTGACAGGGCCGGGCGAAG